AATACAACCTTTGGGGCTATAAATTATATGCTTATGGTATTTTGAATCCTTCAGGGATTTTCATGTATATCTTATTGTACAATGAGTCATATAAATATGCAGTAACGAAATTCATTAAACACATATCCAATCCTTCAGATACTGCAAGATCTATAAAAAATCTGAAAGTGATTGCGTCCATTAAAAGAGAATATGTCTTCTCATAATCAATACCAGGTCTCTACGAGAAACCTTGTGCCACAAGTTGTGCCTTGTATTGTTCAATTTCAATTTTTTTGTTGTGTTTTCTCACAAACACCCATTTATATCCAATGGGTTCAACACCTTGTGACATTTGGATTACAGGTCCAACTACATTGCATTTTGTTTGTGAGTTTAGCTATACCTGAATTGCTTTTTTTTATTTTAGCCAATCATTTCTTAGTCAACATTCATTTTCAATTGTGCATATAAAAAGAAGAGACCAAAATGTTGTTCCAAATGTTGGGTAAAATTGCCTTATTTTACCTCATTTCTCTACATGAGGTAATTGTTTNCCTTAATTTTTTACAACTTTGTACAGTTGGTAATAAAAATTTTATTTTTAGTTAGTTTTGTCCATTAACCCTCTAAAACCAATTTGTGTTCTTGAATCGAGTAAGAAATATGCAAAATATCATAGTGACCAATGACATTATATCTCTTATATTTGATGAATTATATCATTTTATAAGTAAGTGTACAAGTGATTTCAATTATTTTTCTGTAAGTTAGTAACCCGTGCATTAATCCAAAAGTGCTTTTTTTTTTCTTTCCATTTCAAAGATTTAATTTTTTAAAAAGAAGAAGGATGATCTCAACTAAGTGTCGCAAAAAATGAGGGATAATTTTGTTATGGACTTGTGAGTGAGATTTGAAAGAATTTTTTGTTCCACTTTCATAAATGATTGGGTTGAAATGCCTTTTGATTNAATATGTTGGATCATGGATCTTAGCCAAATATATTCTCGACTTGCATCATGAATGATTAATATCTTGGAGTGATTGGATGATATAGCAATCATTGTTTATTTAACCAATTTTCATGATATAGTCGAACCACCATAAATTAACACATATCTAGTTTGTGATCGAGCCTTGTGAGGATTAGAAAGATAACCAACATCTGCATATCCAACTAATTGCGGACTTTTGTCATTCACATAGAACAACCCTATGTTCACCGTTTCGCGAAGAAACCACAATACATGCTTAATTTCATTCCAACGTCTTTGAATTGATGTTGAGTTGTATTTTGCTAGTATGTTTGTTGAAAATGATATGTCTGGTCTCGTACAATTTTCTAGATACATTAGTGCACTAATTGCACTAAGATATGACACTTCTAGACTAAGAAATGTTTCATCTTGCTCTTGAGGACTAAATGGATCATTCTTTGTATCTAATGATCGGACGACCATTGGTGAGCTCAATAGATTAGATTTATCCAAGTAAAATTATTTCAAAANGAAATGTTTCATCTTGCTCTTGAGGACTAAATGGATCATTCTTTGTATCTAATGATATGACGACCATTGGTGAACTCAATAGATTAGATTTATCCAAGTAAAATTATTTCAAGACCTTTTTCGTGTATGTTGATTGATATACAAAAACTCCATAGGATAAATACTCGATCTGTAGGCCGAGACAAAATTTTGTTTGCCCAAGATCTTTCTTCTCAAACTCACTTTTTAAATAGCAGATGGCTTTTGTGAGTTCTTCTGGAGTGCCTACTAAATTTAAATCATCAACATATACATCAATACCTAGTGTTAGATCTTTTGATAAAAATATTTGGTCATATCAAATCATTGATATATCCTACTTTTAAAAGATATTCACTAAGGCGATTATACCACATCCACCCTGATTGTTTTAATTCATACAACCATCGTTAAAGTTTAATTGAATACAACCTTTGGGGCTATAAATTATATGCTTATGGTATTTTGAATCCTTCAGGGATTTTCATGTATATCTTATTGTACAATGAGTCATATAAATACGCAGTAACGAAATTCATTAAACACATATCCAATCCTTCAGATACTGCAAGATCTATAAAAAATCTGAAAGTGATTGCGTCCATTAAAAGAGAATATGTCTTCTCATAATCAATACCAGGTCTCTACGAGAAACCTTGTGCCACAAGTTGTGCCTTGTATTGTTCAATTTCAATTTTTTTGTTGTGTTTTCTCACAAACACCCATTTATATCCAATGGGTTCAACACCTTGTGACATTTGGATTACAGGTCCAACTACATTGCATTTTGTTTGTGAGTTTAGCTATACCTGAATTGCTTTTTTTTATTTTAGCCAATCATTTCTTAGTCAACATTCATTTTCAATTGTGCATATAAAAAGAAGAGACCAAAATGTTGTTCCAAATGTTGGGTAAAATTGCCTTATTTTACCTCATTTCTCTACATGAGGTAATTGTTTTATGGGATAACTCTCTTCAGCAGCACAAACTTATAGTTTGGTATTCTCTTTTGGAGCCTTAACCTTTTTATTTACTTTCTTTTGTTCTCTTCTTTTTCTAGGGACAATATCTTTTGTACCAACATGTCTACCATGCTTTAGGCATGCCTAAGACTCATTTGCAGCTATGCGGGCTTGTCTTACTGGGACATCAATTCTTACTGCTTGTCATTTTTTGATGAATCATTTCTTCTCAAGATATAACAATGGGCTTCCCAAGCATAGGAAAATTTTGCAATGTAATAACTTGGATAAATCCAAGGTCGTCTTATCAAGGAACATATGGAATTTTACTGGTGACGTGTGTGCAAATGAAAATAACAATCTTTTGACTTGTGGAAGAGATAAGAAATGAAATTCTAATGTATTATAATCAATAGAAAAATAGTTGGCTGATCCTTAGGAATCAACATACCATAGCCAAACAATTTGACTCTTCNTGGAAGAGATAAGAAATGAAATTCTAATGTATTATAATCAATAGAAAAATAGTTGGTTGATCCTTAGGAATCAACATACCATAGCCAAACAATTTGACTCTTCGTTTTAACTCATCCGAAGTTGTATTCAAATGTGCTCGAACGGATAATATTCAACAAAAAACCAAATTTTATACTATTTTAGCTTTAAAGATAGGAAGTAAAAGCTAGAATGATAAGCATTTAGATTGTGTAAATGATTCTTAAGAATTACTCGTGCTTGATGAACTGTCAACAATAAATCAAAGTAATCACTTAACAACTAATATCAAAATTGATTTTTTCCTTCTACAAAACATTTGATCGATTAGAAACAATTAGAGAATCACTATGCTTGATTATGGATGAGAATCATCTCTTGGATCGTGTCGATACTTAATCAAAAATAAAACCCATCAAAGCATAATCAACATAAAGCATCATGTAAAACTAATGAATATGGACAACAAAATGGGAAGAAGTAAACTCCAAAATATTAGCTTCAAAATATGAAGTTCAAATATAAAAATAAACCATACAAAGAAGAGCTTTGAAAATGAAATGGAATTCCTCCCGGTTGTCTTCTCCGAGCCCCTAGTAAATTTCTTACACTGTAAATTTAAACAAAAACTCCAACTTAACTCTTAAAAATCTCAATTAAAGCAAAGGCTAAAGAAAGGGAAGAAGAAGCTCCCTTGTGTAAAGACACACACACACACACACACACATATATATATATGTTCCCCATTCCCTTCTTTTCATTGGACATAGAGTGTGGCATTATTGATGCGTGGATTATCGGAGAAGTTTCCTCCGANAAAATGAAATGGAATTCCTCCCGGTTGTCTTCTCCGAGCCCCTAGTAAATTTCTTACACTGTAAATTTAAACAAAAACTCCAACTTAACTCTTAAAAATCTCAATTAAAGCAAAGGCTAAAGAAAGGGAAGAAGAAGCTCCCTTGTGTAAAGACACACACACACACACACACACACACACACACACATATATATGTTCCCCATTCCCTTCTTTTCATTGGACATAGAGTGTGGCATTATTGATGCGTGGATTATCGGAGAAGTTTCCTCCGACTCGTCCAATGGATGGTCATCTCAAAATGTGGGAGGTTGTTTCCACCAATAGGAACAAACTTCATGGGGATTGGTTGCCTCCCATGAGTGTAGAAGTGACATAGCCGACACCACGGACCAATTGAAACCCAAGAAAGCTATTCTCTCTATAGTCGACTTAAGACCAACCAGTTGAAATTGTCTGATGAACCGGTTAAACAGCCCTGATGAATCGGTTGAAGATTTGTTATCAACCGGTTGAAGTATCCTCAATACCTTTGCCTTTTTGAAACTTCTTTGACAAACCGGTTGAAAACCAATTTTCAACCGGTTGATATGCTCACAGTATCTTACCTGTTTCTAGTATCCTCTGATCAACTAGTTGAATTTATTTTCCAACTGGTTGAAGGTCTATTTTTACTCTGATCAACTGGTTGAAGTTGAATCAATTGAACTGGGATTTCCTTTATTCTTTCTGATCAATTTCATATTGCATGTCCAATTCTACCTTAACTTCGTCTAATCCTTTTCTCATTGCTTTGCATACACTTACATTCACAAATACACCTTTAATCAATTTACAACCCAATTTCGAGAGGAATAAACATGAATTAAATAGATAACATGAATGGCTTAAGTTCTGTAATGCTAAACATATCCCTGAACCTAAGTTTTGCTAGTCCTTAGCAAACCAAAAATAAAAAGTATGCACTCCATTCATTTACTCATTTATGCACAACTAGACTTATGACACATTTATCACACAATCAATCAAAACATAACTAACAATTTTAAAACACAACATACAAAAAAAGACAGTTGATATATATATATATATATTGTCAATGGGTACAGAAGTAATCAAAATATAACAACTCTAGGACACAAACAAAATTTTACTATCCTAAGTCATTGCATAACCCATTTAGACAAGTCCTAAAACAACGAAACTAGCAAATCCTAACATCATCTACTCAGAGTATCCATCGTCATCCATATCAAACTCAGACTTGGCCTGTTCCTCTTTACTTTCCATCTCATATACTGGATCACGAGGCTTAGTCATAGATACAAGTGGTGGCTCAGATACCAAAGTAGGTGTAACAGGCACTGAAGAAGTAACACCTACAAAAGTCAATGATGGTAGGACAAACAATGACTCTCTTGGCACAGTGTTGTCAATAATCCCATTTGCATCATGAAAGACGACTCCAAATCCCTAGCCATATGCACTTGAGTTCCTTTCATCTCCTCAAAGCCAGACTCCTAGCTATCTATCCTACGCTCTGGCCTCCCCATCCTCTAAAGCATAGTATTTCTCGAAATCGATGAAATAGGAACGGAGCTAGTATCAGTAGGTGCAGTGGTAGGGCCGATATGTGTAGAAGGAGAAATAGTAGGCCTATCTCTAGTAGCTATAGACATGATGTCACTCTTGCTCTCTAACCAACTACTAATGGGCCCCTTCTTAGGAGAAGTCAAATAGTCTCTCATATATCTCTTTACCCCTGCAACCACACAAAAAGTGAGTAATCATATTAACAAATGACATATTTTGCCCTAGGTTTGATCTACAAAATATAATCCCAGATTACCCCCCACATAAACAACACCACATCCATCCTTTTCCCCTGCAGCACCTCATATAGCAAAATAATCTTTAAGATAGACAACCTCTAATCCGACCCCTTCAGAAATACATTATAGTGCTAAGATTTTACTCAAGGTCTTATATTCTCTAGTCAAACTCTTTACAATAAACTACCCATCAAACTAATTTGGCTCCTTATACATCAATCTTACATATTTTACCAAACACTTAGCCTTAAACTCTGTATTCCAAGTAGTTGGCTATCGAATCTGGGGTTACCTTGATCANTACAATAAACTACCCATCAAACTAATTTGGCTCCTTATACATCAATCTTACATATTCTACCAAACACTTAGCCTTAAACTCTGTATTCCAAGTAGTTGGCTATCGAATCTGGGGTTACCTTGATCAGCTTACCACGTACTGTGGTCCTTAATATCATAAGATCTGTGTCTACCTTCTTCAACCTCAAATAAAACTTTCGACATAACTCCAAAATACACCTAGGCACCGACTCAAAGAAAAATTTAAAACCTAAATCCATTATCTGTTTCACAGCCACAGACTCACCTATATTCTTACGATCAACCATCCGCTCTCAAGTGGCAAAATTCCCATCCATGAGANTCCATTATCTGTTTCACAGCCACAGACTCACCTATATTCTTACGATCAACCATCCGTTCTCAAGTGGAAAAATTCCCATCCATGATAGTCTCGTACTCCACTCTCGTTTCTTTCACCTCAAACTCATGAGGCTCATCATCCCCATCACGTTATCCATCACTATCACCCTCTGCAGTAGCTTTTCCTTTTCCTTTTCCTTTCTTGATGCTCTCGACTTTGAAGATGAAGATGAAGCTCTGCGGGTTTTGGCCATGCCCACCAAAAACCATACCTATCATCATAATAAACATAACACATCCAAAAACCATGAAAGCAACCCCTCAGACAAACCCTAGATGAATAACTCAAAGATTTTCTTGAAGCAATTTGATTGGACCGTAGGGTTTGGAAGTTTAGAAATTTTTGGTGGAGATGAGAGGGAAAAGATAGAAGGAAGAACTAAGGCTCTTAGGATGGTGGGTTATAGTTTTCAAAAATACGAGGAGAGTTTGAGAGAGTGGATTTAGATAAAATGGAAAGATTGAGCCAAAAAGCCATCCATCTCCCTTTTAAAAAGACCAAAACTTGACCTCACATCTACTAGTTGATCAACAGTGCTTCAACTGGTTGAACCACTTTTTTTTGCTCTGATGAACGGGTTCAAGTTCAACTGGTTGGTTCTCTCGTTTTTCAATTTTTCATTTTCTTATTGATTTGAACAATCCTAATACTTTTCCAAACCTATTTACATGCCTAAGACCTAGTCACACACAATATAGAAGTTGAAACACACAAAACATGTATAAAAATTACACAACATTCCAATTCAAAATGCATTCCAATTAAAAACACTAAATGAAATCTAAAGCCACTTTCTTTGGGTACACAATTGCATTTAGAAAATGCAACAAACCTTTAAAACCCCTAGGTCACCCATAGTAGATGAGTTGTGTCTCGTGAAGGTTTTTAGAGAAGATACCTACAAACTTTTATTTACATCCCAATTTAGACTATATTATAATATTCTAACTAGCAATGAGGTGTATTAACCATTCTTCCATCCACTTTAAGGTACTTCTATACTATTACATCATAGATTTAAATGATATGTAAAAGTATTTAGATACACATTTCCATAAGAGACTCGTGTATGTGTGAAATGATAATGTAATTCAAGAAATTTATCAAATAAAACCTACATCCATATTAGCTATCCAAATTAGCTTTGATGAAAATCTCACCACAAATTTTTCTCTCAAAACATACAACACTCTGATTATACTAATGTTCCATTCATTCTCTATATGTGAGACGGATTCTTGTAATTCAAAGCAAATTATAACTCACATATCATTCAACAATGAAAGACAATCATGCAATTGAAACGACCTTGACATAATCTCATGAAAGGAATGCTAGGGCAAATGAAAGTAATGCAGTTGACCTATCTATAGTTTTGAACATACACTTGCCATAATTTCTAAGATCAAATAGGACTTTAACTGGTTGTAACGTGCCCTCAAGGGAAAATTGAGCTAAAGAAATGAAGGGATATATGAATTCAAAAAGAAGTAATCCTGAGAATATGTCTTTACTAACCATATCTCCTCTCTTGAAATTAATTGGTTTTCTTCATTTCTATTTCTTTCCCTTTTTCATTTCTATAACTTTTTCTTTTCTCTCTTTTTTTTTTCTTCTCTTTTTCACCTCCTTTATTTCTTCTTGTTTTCTTTGCTTTGCTTTCCATAAATATCAAAAATTTGCTCAAATATTCATCACCCCTTTTTGTTCCATTCTTCTTTTCTTTTATTTTGTTTCTTTTTCTTTTAACCACAATCCTTTTTTAATAATATAACCCTATTAATCCCGGGACAACCAAGGTAAGATAAATATAAATTATGCTTGACTTTGCTAAACATGTGGCTAAAGAAATCAAATTTATATTCAAGCTCAACTAGGGCTTCTAGGGATGATATTAAGAAAGAACAGACTAAGACTCAAATTAATTCACAAATGACTTAAGATCATTTCTTGAAAATACATGGCAAGGTACCCTTTGCATTGAGATATAATCAACTAATTACCCTATTTACACTAATCAAAACAAAAATAATGAGATTATTGAAAGAAATTAAAATTGAAAGAACAATATTTTAAGTAAGTGTATTTCAACCATCCAGTAAAGAATGACTCAAAAGATCACAAGAGTAATGCATTCATCTCCGCTATGTATGTCAAGCATTTTAAGATGAAAATATTATTCAATAAATTACAAAAATTAGTATTCTCATGGTGCAAATAGGGTAAGTTTCACATGAAAACACATATATGATATTTAAACATAGAACAAGTTTTTATAATGTGTTAGCACGCAAATAACTCAAGATTCAAGTCAAATAATTATCAATCTCATGCTAATTAAAAGGGAATAATACACTCCAAGTTGGATGTTTTGTTTTGTTTTTCTCATCTTTTTCATTTTTTTCTCAATTTTTTTTTCAAAATTTCTCATTTTAGCATACAACCTGGTGGTGCCATATAGTCATGGTGCACCCTTACCCCCAACTTAAATCATGCATTGTCCTCAATGGAAAATAATTATGCAATGAGAAAATGAAGACAACAAGGGTAAGACAACACTTGACACTGTTTCCATAAAGAAAAATCACTAGCTGCAAAACAACAAAAACTATACAAAAAGAAATACGTACAATGAAATAACTGCACATCAAATAGAAAAATAAAGACCACCATTGTACACTATTATTATCGAAAGAAACTACTTAGCATCAAGATCTTGATACACAAGATCAACCAATTCTTCTACAATCTCCTCAGATGAAAAATCTTCCAAAAATGACTTAAGCTGATGTCCATTGACTTTAAAAGTTTGACCATTCTTAGGATTTTGAATGTCCATAGCCCCGTTAGGATAGAAAACATAGACTGTATAGGAGCCAGTCTATCGCGAATGCAACTTACCTAGGAAGATGAGAAGACGGGAATTGTATAATAATAATTTTTAACCTAGCTCAAAGGTTTTTCTTACTATTGATTTATCATGAAAAATTTTAACCTTTTCTTTATAAATTCTAGTACTGTTATACACATCTCGATGTATTTCCTCTAATTTATTCAATTGCAATTTCCTATGCTTTTCGGATGGACCCAAACTATAATTCAATAACTTATGACCAAATATGATTGGTGTTCAATCTCCACTGGCAAATGACAGGCCTTGTTGTATATCAACCTATAGGGAGACATACCTAAATGAATTTTGTATATTGTACGGTAGGCCCATAAAACATCAATCAATCAAATTGACCAATCCTTACGGTTAGGGTTTACCCTTTTTTTCAATATATGCTTAATTTCCCTATTGGCCAATTTAGCCTTGTCGTTTGTTTGTGGGTGATAAGCAGTAGACGTTATGTGTGATACCGTATTTGTGCATCAAAATCCCAAATGGCCTATTGCAGAAATGTGAAGCACCATCACTAATGATTATCTTAGGCATTCCAAACCTAAACAAGATATTTTTCTTAAAAAATTTAATAACAACTTTATGATCATTTGTCTTATCTTGTATGACCTCTACCTACCTAGACATGTAATTAACTGCCAGTAAAATATATAAATAATAAAATGAGGAAAAATGACCCATGAAAATAATACCCCAACAATCAAATATCTCGATCACCAGAATGGGAGTAAGGGGCATCATATTCCACTGAGTCACACCACCCAACCTTTGACACCAGTCACAGCTCTTGCAGAACTGGAAACAATCTTTATAGAATCCACACTGCATATTTGATAAGAAATGGCCTCCACATGTGTTTGAATGGCGGAAAGAAATGACATCATGCTGCTCGCCATCGGGTACACATCTTCTCATAACCAAGCCAACGCAACATTTAAATAAATAAGGGTCATCAAAGAATTTTTTTTTCACTTCCACAAAAAAAATTTATTTTCTCTTGTGGACTCTAATGAGGTGATATTTGTTTTGTAACAACAAAGTTAACAATGCCAGCATACCAAGGAGAAGATGCAGTAACAAAAAATAAATACTCATCAAGAAAAGTATCCTAAATGGGAAATGCTCATGCATGTCCTAATACACAAGTCGAGATAAGTGATCACTACCTCATTCTCAACTCCTTTCTTATCTTTAATGATCAGAAATAATTCTTATAGGAGGAAAATCCGCCTAATAAGTCTCAGTTTTGTTTCCTACTTATACAACAAATACTTCATAGAAAAATGATCAGTATAGACAACAATAGGTGAACCAATGATATAAGATCTAAATTTATCAAGTGCAAAGGCAACAATTCCTTTTTTATAGCAGTGTAATTCATTTGTGCCCAATTTAGGGTTTTGCTAGAATAGTAAATAACATGTGGTTTCTTACCTTGCTTTTGGTCTAATACAACTTCCATTGCATAGTCACTTGCGTCAAACATAAGCTCAAATGGGAGGACCCAATTTGGTGGTTGTATGATTAGAAATCAACATATTTTTCATTTTTTGAAAAACGACCTTAAAATCAGGTGACTACACAAATTGAGCTTCTTCTGCCAAATGATTACGTAAAGGTTGAGATATGACACTAAAACCCTTTATGAATCTCCTATAGAATCTGGCATGATCAAGAAGTGAACGCAAATCCTTTAACTTTTTTGGGGTAGGTAGATTGAAAATTAACTCAATCTTTGCTTTGTCAACCTCTATCCCTTTTACAAAAACAATATGATCAAAAGCAATTCCTTTAGTTGCCATAAAATGATATTTTTCCAATTTGAGCACCATACTCTTCTCTTCACACCTCACTCATACATTTTCCAAATTCTCCAAACAATCTTCAAATGGATCTCCAAACAACAAAAAACCATCCATAAATACCTTAATAATCTTCTCCAAAATATCATTAAAAATTTCCACCATGCACCTTTGGAATGTTCATGGGGCATTACATAG